CAGAGTCAGCTGCATTTTAATGTATTTTCTTTAAGAATTATTTGCATAGTTCAAATCTGTGGAATGTACAATTTTATCTCCTTCTTTCAAGCTTAGTATTCTACTATAAGCATTTATTTCCTCTTATCATTAAAAAAGTTCTCAGCAAACTTAAATTTTAAAGGCCGTAAACTTTTTTTTTTAAACAGTGTACTTCCATTTATTTAAAGTTTTAAAACATGCAGAACAACAGTACATACTGTTGAAAGAGACGTGTATATGCATAAAAAGTATGAAAGCATACAAATTCAGGACAGTATTTATCTCTGGAGTGGGAGAAAGGAAAATGGGATCACAGAGAACTCCACAGAGAAATTCAGCTAAGTCTGAAGCAAACACATCAAAATGTTAGGACTGACGAGAACTGAATGGTGGCACACACAGTTTTGTTATTTTATTCTACTTTTTGCTGATTTGAATTTTTTTAATAGTCACAGGTACTTGTTGTTAGGTGACATTGAGTTGGTTCAGATTCATAGTGACCCCATGTACAACAGAACGAAACACTAGCTGGTCCTGCGCCATCTTCACAATTATTGCTATGTTTGAGTCCATTGTTACAGCCACTGTGTCAATCCATCTCACTGAGGGTCCTCCTCCTTTTTGCTGACCCTCTACTTCACCAAGTGTCTTAGTTATCTAGCGCTGCTATAACGGAAATGCCACAAATGAATGGCTTTAACAAAGAGAAATTTATTCTCTCACAGCCTAGGAGGCTAAGAGTCCGAATTCAGGGCGCCAGCACCAGGGGAAGGTGCTCTCTCTCTGTTGGCTCTGGAGGAAGGACCTTGCCATCGATCTTTCCCTGGATGAGGAGCTTTTCAGCACAGGGACCCCGGGTCCAAAGGATGCGCTATGCTCCTGGTGCTTCTTTCTTGGTGGTATGAGGTCCCTATGTCTCTCTGCTCGCTTCTCACTTTTATATCTGAAAAGAGATTGACTTAAGACAAAACTTAATCTTGTAGATTGAGTCCTGTCTCCTTAACATAACTGCCTCTAATCCTGCCTCATTAACATCATAGAGGTAGGATTTACAACACATAGGAAAATCACATCAGATGACAAAATGTTGGACAATCACACAATACTGGGAATCATAGCCTAGCCAATTTGACACATATTTTTGGGGGATAAAATTCAATCTATAACACCAAGCATGATGTCCTTCTCTAGGGACTGGTCCCTCCTGATAACATGTCCAAAGTACATAACACAAAGTCTCACCATCCTCACTTCTAAGGAGCATTCTGGCTGAACTTCTTCCAAAACAGATTTGTTCCTTCTTCTGGCAGTCCATGGTATATTCAATATTCTTTGCCAACACCATAATTCAAAGGCATCCATTCTTCTTCAGTCTTCCTTATTCATTGTCCAGATCTTGCATGCATATGAGGCAACTGAAAATATCATGGCTTGAGTCAGGCGCACCTTAGTCCTTAAGGTGACATCTTTGCTTTTTAACACTTTAAACCGGTCTTTTGCAGCAGGTTTACCCAATGCAATCTGTCGTCTGATTTCCTGACTGCTGCTTCCATGGACGTTGATTGTGGATCCAAGTAAAATGAAATTCTTGATGACTTCAGTATTTTCTCCATTTACCATGATGCTGCTTAGTGGTCTAGTTGTGGGGATTTTTGTTTTCTTTATGTTGAGGTGTAATCCATCCTGAAGGGTGTAGTCTTTGATCTTCATCCAGAAGTGATTCAAGTCCTCTTCACTTTCAGCAAGCAAGGTTGTGTCATCTGCATATCGAAGGTGGTTAATGAGTCTTCCAGTCCATTGGCCAGGCAGCTGTCTTCCAAATTTCTTGGCACAGATGTGTGAGCATTTCCAGCATTGCATCCATTTGTTGAAATATCTCAATTGGTATTCTGTCAATTCCTGGGGCCTTGCTTTTCACCAATGCCTTCAGTGCAGCTTGGACTTCTTTCAGTATTATCAGTTCTTGATCATATGCACCTCCTGAAATGATTGAAAATGGACCAATTCTTTTTGGTACAGTGACTGTGTGTATTCCTTCCATCTTTCTTTGATGCTTCCTGTGTTGTTCAATATTTTGCCACAGGTACTTACCTAAGCCCATATGGCTAATTAGCGGGGTAATCTGGACTAAACCAGGTAATCTTGACTAATTAGCAATCCAGTCTTCTTTCTCTATGGCCTCAGACCATGATCTGTTTATGAATTGAATTTTAACCATTTTGGTCCTAATCTGGGCAATTTTTTTATTGTAGTAAAAACAAATATATATATATCACAAAAAATTTGCTGTTTCAATCAGCCTTAAGTGTACAATTCCATAACAGTAATCACATCCACCACGCTGTACAGCCATCACCACTATCCCACTACCCATTTCCAAAAAAAATTGTAATCACCTCCAACAGAAACCAAGTACACCTTAAGCAACAACTCCCCATTTCTCCCTATCCCCAGCCTGATAACTTATCTCTTTCTATCTATGCATTTGCTTATTCTAGATATTTCATGTAAGTGAGATCATATTTGTCCTTTTGTGTGTGACTTATTTCACTTAGCATAATGTTTTCAAGGTTCATCCACATCATAGCATGTATCAAAACTTGGTCTTTATGACATTTCATTGTATGTATGTACCACATTTTGTTTATCCATTCATCTCTTGATGGACATTTGGGCTGTTTCCTCAGATACCTTTTTCCTATTAAAAGTAAAACTGCCATATATGTTTTGTATTTACACCTTTTAAAATAAATGTAAAGATTTTAAATGAAACAGTAAAGTACAAAGAAGAAATTAAATATTGCCCCAAGTCTCGTAACTTAGGGAAACCATTATTCTTATTTTAGTTAATATTCCTCTATGTTGCTATCTGGAGCTCTGGCAGTGGTTAAGAGCTCAGACTGCTAATCAAAAGGTCGGCAATTTCAATCCACCAGCTGCTCTTTGGAAACCCTACGGGCAGTTCTACTCTGTCCTATAGGATCACTATGAGTTCAAATTGACTCAACAGCAGTGAGTTTGCTTTTGTTTTATGTTGCTAGGTTATGTCCCTAGATAGTACAGTTAACATGCTTGGATGCTAACCGAAAGGTTGGAGGGTCAACTCCACCCAGACGTTCCTTGGAAGAAAGGCCTAGCAATTTACTTCTGAAAAATCATCCATAGAAAACTCTATGGAGCACAGTTCCGCTCTTACACAATGGGGTCACCAGGAGTTGAAACTGACTCCACGGCAACTGGTTTGTTGTTTTTTTGCGGTGTGTGTGTGGAGGGGGATATGCTAATACCTTTAACTGAATTCATATTACGCCTTCTCCTCACTTATCGACTATCTTGTTATCTGACAGTTCCCATTCACGACAATAGCAAAGTATCTACTATTTTGTGCATTAACGATGTAACGAATGCCGAGGTGCGAGGAGAGAATAATGCTGGCTTTCATGGTTAAGTTTATGTGTTAACTTGGCTGGGCCATGATTCTCCGTGGTTTGGCAGTTATGTAATGATATAATTTGGCATAACTTGGTAATGATGTAGTCATCCTCCATTTTCGCATAACACTGATTTCACATGGTCTTTGGAATCTAACCACGTTTATAAGTGAAGAGAGGGTTGTCATAGATTGAATCATATTCCCCCAAAATGTCTGTCAACTTGGCTAGGTCATGATTCCCAGTATTGTGTGGTTGTCTACCATTTTGTCATCTGATGTGATTTTCCTATGTGTTATAAATTCTGTCACTGTGATATAATAAGATGGATTATTGGCAGTTATATTGATGAGATTTACAAGATTAGTTAGTGTCTTAAGCCTATCTCTTTTGACATATAAAGAGACAAACAAGCAGAGAGACAGGGGGACCTCATTCCATCAAGAAAGCAGAGACTGTCCTTTGGACTTGGGGTTAATAAGCTGAGATCCTCCCAGACCAAAGGAAGACTGATGCATCACAAGGACCTTTCTCCAGAGCCAACAGAGAGAGAAAGCCTTCTCCTGGAGCCATTGCCCTGAATTCAGACTTACAGCCTACTGGACTGTGAGAGAATAAACTTCTCTTTGTTAAAGCCATCCACTCGTGGATTTCTGTTATAGCAGCACTAGATGACCAAGACAATGGTGTCTTTTCCAAGTTGAGTTAATAGATAAAAAAAAATTGGCCTTGTTTAAGGCAACTCGTAATTCCTCAGCCTTTAAAGTTCGACCTAGTGATACTTAAGTTCTTTTTAAGCTGATTTTAACTTCCAAACCCAGAATGTGATAGAAACCATCACAGCAGTCAAGGTCTCATTTTATTCTTTCTAAAAACAAAACCGTTAGTTCACCAAGGTGTTAGGGTTCCGATTTCACGTTGATAGAAAAATCAAGCCACTTTAAGCCTCTGGCTGTGGTCTCCTCACATGACGCTGCCCTCTGCCTTTAAATGCCCGCGCACGTGATCGCAGACGTGCACGCACACAGGAAATTCACGCTGTCAGGATAACAAGTCATCCTCCCCTACCTTCCCGTCCATGGGGTTTCTAGTGTTTCCTCCCCGGAAGCTGCAACTCCTCTGGAGACTTTCTCTTCCTTATCCCCTTCTTCAGGTCATCTATCCTTAGTCCTTTCCGATAGTCACCCTCCCCAGAGCTCCCTCTTCCCTATAGAATTCTAGCCAACCTTCCGGAGGAAGGGACCAAAGGGACTACAACTCCCAGGGGGCATTGCAGGCTCTCCCCTTCGGGGGGCGCGCGGTGCAGGTCGGGAGCTGAGGTCCCACAGTCTTTTCGGCGCGCGCCGCTGGGAGCAAGCGCACTACAGGTTCCGTCGCACCTCGCGCAAGGGCCGGGCTGGGGAGGGGCGGGGTAGGGCAGGACAGGCCCGGGCGGGCGGCCGGGTGAAGGAAGGGGGTGGGAGCGGAGGCGATGGAGGGGAGGAGTGGGGGAATGGGGGAGGGAAGGGAGGCAGGAGGCGGGGCCGAGCCGGAGCTGGAGCCCGAGGCGGCGGTTGCGGCGGAGGCGGTGATGTCGGTGCAGGTTGTGTCAGCAGCGGCTGCCGCCAAGGTGCCTGAGGTGGAGTTGAAGGACCTGAGCCCCTCCGAGGCAGAACTGCAACTAGGACTGAGCACGGCGGCTGTAGGCGCCATGTCTCCCCCGGCTGGCGGCGGGGACCCTGAGGCTCCAGCTCCGGCCGCGGAGCGGCCCCCGGCCCCCGGCCCGGGCTCGGGGCCCGCTGCCGCGCTCAGCCCTGCCGCCGGGAAGGTGCCTCAGGCGTCGGCCATGAAGCGGAGCGACCCGCATCACCAGCATCAGCGGCACCGCGACGGCGGCGAGGCCCTGGTCAGCCCCGACGGCATCGTCACCGAGGCGCCGCGCACAGTCAAGAAGGTATTAGGGCCGGGCTGCCTCTCGTGGAGAGGCTGGGAGGGCTGGGGGAACCGCAGATACTCGGCACGGCGCGGCGCCCTCCACGCCTTCTTTTCTTGTCCTGGGAGCAAAGAGACCCCGTTCCCCCTCAAGCCCACTCTCCTGAGATGCCCCATCGGGCCCCAGTGCTGGGCAGCGGCCGCCCTTCGCGATATCATGGAGTTAGCGCTCTCTTCGACTCCTTGGAATAGGCAGGGGAGGAGAGGCACCTAGTACTACGCCCCCACCCCTGGACCCCAACACACTTGTGTGTCATGTTCCAGACTATAGGGAGGAGACCTTGATGGTGTAGAAAAGCTTACCGCTTACGAGAGCTCACCCAGCAAGGGTGGAAAGAGCTTTTCTGCTTGGAGAACGAGTAACGTGTAGGTACCTCGCACTGAAATCCTGAGTTGTCTGGTTTCTGTAGAGATGGTGACTTTCTACCTTTCTGTGGCCGACCGCTTCCGTAGAGCAGTGCCAAGGCTGTGTCCTTCATTTCGAGAGACTGCAATATCCTTGCCTCTTCTGTGAATATAGAAGAGTAATAGATTCTCTTCACTCCTTTTTCCTGAAGTTTTTCCTCTTTGCTCAGGATTATAAGGCTGGTTCATTTTTTTACGATCTGAAAGTGTTAGGAGGAAAATACTTCTACTTTTGGGAAAAGTGATCACTGTGGGGCTTTCCTCTCTCAGCTGCCAGCTTCTTTCAGAAATAAGTTTGAAGAGGCAGTAGCCTTAGACCACCAAGGAGTAAGTGTGCGTAGTAGTATGATACCCAAACATTATCCTTACTTTGGCTATCAACGGCGTGTTGCTTTCTGTCTTAAAGCTACATCAACACAGGATAACAAAAAGGCAAATAGTTGAAAAAACAGAGTTGATGTGGATCATATAAAAAGGGATCATGGGTCTAGTTTCACAGGCACAATATGAACGCAGTGATTCATGGTTTTCTCTTTGATCGTTCTGAATGATTTTAATTGCTTTGTCAGAATAGCAATAAAATGATGTGAAGTTTGCATTGGTTTCTCTGTGTAGGACTCAGCTGAATTGGAACCTTGAGCTCAGCTAAACTTTTTTGTTGTAATAGCTTCATGGTTAAGTTATAAAGCAGATGACCTTTTCATTCTAACTACCCAAATATAGGTGGTAAACAAATGCTGTCAGAGGCAAGACTGAGGGAATTTGTTTAATGATGGCTTAGGACAATGTCCTTGTCATTTACAGTATGAAGCTCCTGGAGGAATTACAGGAGGTTAGAGAGGCAGCATGGTTACCAGTGGTTCTCCCTATTGTACCTAGACATGAGTTGGAAATCTGAATTCTGTTTTTGACTAGTTGAGTTGCTTTATGAGTTTGGTTGGATGTTTTTCCTGTGATTAAGACTTGATGGCAACTAACAACAGCAAGGGTCTTTTTTTGTGTGTAAAATCTATAATTTGATTAGATTTCTTGAGGGTAAAACATGCTCTTTTAGAACGTGGTGTTTATGGTCAGGCAGACCTGAGTTTAAACCTTACTTCCACCACTAACTAATTTTTGGGTAATTTCCAAACTTTCTAAATCTCAGTTTCCTCTTGTGTAAAATGAGGATACTAACACTATAGATCAGGAGCCCTGGTGCCACAGTGGTTAAGCATTCGGTTGCTAACTGAAAGGTCAGCAGTTTGAACCCACCAGCTGCTCCACTGGAGAAAGATGTGGCAGTCTGCTTCCGTAAAGATTACAGCCTTGGAAGCCCTGTGGGGCAGTTCTACTCTGAAGAATTGATTTTATTTTATTCTCAGCATGGTTTAAATGTATATAACCATGAACTCCTCTAAAACGTACACATAGTTTAAAAGATTCTGTATAAAAAGTAAAAAAATCACATACGCTTCTACACCATTTTTCCTGTCATTGAACCACCTTCCTCCATAAAAATGTAGGTTCCATGATTCTAGACTTACTCAGCAGCCTCAAGGCTGTGGAAGACAGGGCTGAGCTTGCCTTACTATGTTAATTGCACCAAAAAGCAACTTTCCTACTGGAAATTAAGCAGGTGAAACTCTGGACGAGGATACAGCTGTATGATGCAATTAAGAACATTGATAGAGCTGCTTTTTTGGGGACAGAATCTTTAACTTTCTTGATACAGGCAGTCCCCGGGTTACGAACATCAGATTTATGTACAACCTGTAGTCGTGAACCAATCCCCGGAAAGCCTGTTATGTTAAAAATCTGAGGTAGTACCATGGTTCGTGATAACAAAGGGACGCTACTTTGCAACATGGCATCAAAACATTATTATTACTATATTGTGTTAAAGATGTTTTAGTGTATCTGGAAGTGTTTCTTTAATGTTTTTATGCATAGAAAGGTACACTAGATACTAAGACAAACGTTTGACTAACATTAGATACAAATCATACCTAATGGTTCTGATTTACATTCAAATTTGACTTACAGACAGACTTAGAACTCGTTTGGAGTCCGGACTGCCTGTATTAAATTGGTTAAGTGAAAATAAGTGCATAATTCTACCCTTCTTTCCCCACGTTTAAAGTCACCTCACCAAGGGATTGCAGTGTGACATTTTGATTTGGTAAGCCTGTCTTAAGTCTCAGATTATCTATTTCAATAATATTCTGACTGTGATTTCCCCCTTTTATTATAGTGTAGGGAGGGACTGGGGGGACTGAGGATTGAAATAGCTGCCTTTGGCTATGTACCTAGTGACTGTTACTTTTATTTTGTAACTGTCACATACAGGCTGTTTATTTTAAGTCACATTTCTGTTGATGGTTTTCCTTACTCCATTCATGTATCTGTTATCAGTTTTCTTAGTTATCTTATTCTGCTCAGCCACAGCAAGGGAAACAAACTTTATAAGGGCCAGAGTTCCCAAATGCAGTAGTTAATAAGAATGAACACGTAGTGTGCAGGTTCCTCAGCCACACCTTATCTTTGGCACGTACCTTTATCCCGTAACTAGTACTCTGGGGGCCAGATCTTGTCTTTGTGGCTATGATATATTTATATATAATGTTTTTCTTCATAAACTCACACTAAGTGAACCCAGCAAACCAAGAATCTTTGTGAGAAGTGATTTGTGAAATGGGAGGACAAGTTCAGGGTGAAAGCAGTGGCACTTGTTGAGAAGATTTCCTCTCTTTGTGTTCTTGAAAATGGAACAAAAGAAATGTCATAGCACCGCAGCGAAGACAAGGCAGGAGGGGGTGTATTGCAGAAAAGTTACAACATTCTGATAATAAGGTTGTGAGCCCAAGAAACTCAACTAGTTTGTGCTTACATCAGTATCAGTAATGACCATGTTCAACCAGACTCTGTGTCTTTTGGCAAAGTATCCACATTACACTGGCTTTGTTGCTGTCAGGAGAGAATGAGTTGAGCCATGTTAGCTCTCTCTTGCCCTGAATTCTTTAAGCTCTTGATTTGGGTAATTATAGGTTACTGAAATGGAATGACTTGGATGGAAGCCTGGAATATGGGAGCAGTGAGCCCCAGTGGCACAGTGGTTTAAGAGCTTGGCTGCTAACCCAAAAGGTCAGCAGTTCAAATCCACCAGCCGCTGCTTGGAAACCCTATGGGGCAGTTACACTCTGTTCTATAGGGTCGCTATGAGTCGGAACCAACTTGATGGCACTTAAACACAGGGCTCCTTTGCCGGTTAGGAAAGTACAGCCTTGCAAAATGTTCAGCAAGGCAGTTGGCAGTTTGACCCTAGTAATTCTTACCAATAATGGGCCTTTTATGTGCCATCAGTTTTTATAGGTGTTTCTCTAATGCTGACCACACAATGAGAATGTAGATGACATTATTTCCATTCTACAGATGAGAAAATGAGGTCAAGAGAGGTTAAGTGTCTTGCCGAAGGTTGTACATCTAGAAAGTGGCAGAGGTAAGAGTTAAACCTAGGTCTGTCTCCTTCTAAAGCCCATGTCCTTTTCATTATGCCACACTGATTCTTTCTAGCTTTTTAGATGCCGGGTTCTGCCTTCTCCCAAAGTCTTTTAGAATCTTCAGTGAACGCTAAGGTGAGGCTCACTGGCTAAGGCTTAGGTCATCCCAAGCCCAAAGTAAGGAGGGTCTGAGTCAGGGCTTTAAGAAGAGGATGGAAAAAAAATTGTCCAGTTGTAGAACCTCAAAGTATTCTAAGATTAGAAGAGGAAAAGAAGAGCATCTTATATATAGAATAACATTTCAAGATCAGTGATCCAGCTTTCACATTAGTAATTTATTTCCTGGTAATCGGAGAAATTTATCCTTATTTTTTGAAGTTATAAATGAATTTGAAGTACCTGAGGAATATGTTCCCCTTTCCTGTCCAGCTAACAGTTTTTCCCTGTTCTTTAAGTCCCACCTTCTCTATGAATCAATCTGTAATTAAACTTTTTGAAAATTAGAAACCAAAAACCAAACCCACTGCTGTCAAGTTGATTCTGACTCATAGTGACCCTGTAGGACAGAGTAGAACTGCCCCATAGGGTTTCCAAGGCTGTAACTCTTTATGGAAGCAGACTGCTACATCCTACATCGTTCTCCCGTGGAGCGGCTGGTGAGTTCGAACTGCCAACCTTTCAGTTAGCTGAGCGCTTAACCATTGCACCACCAGGGCTCCCTCAGGCTGGTGGAAGGTTTTCCCGTATATTCATAGAAGCATATGAATTTTCTGAGAAAACAGCCCTTGTTTTTTTTTTATTAAAATTTGTTATTTTCAGATGTCATGTGTTTCTAACAGTTAATAAATAATTGTTGTATTAGATTACAATAAGTAATAACTATTCTTAAATTTTTCTGCTTTTTTTAAAATTTTTTTTACTGTACTTTAGATGAAGGTTTACAGAGCAAACTAGTTGCTCATTGAACAATTAATACACGTACTGTTTTGTGACATTGGTTGCCAACCCTGTGATATGTCAACACTCCCCCTTCTCGACCTTGGGTTCCCCATTACCAGCTTTTCTGTCCCCTCCTGCC